CTTTGAAGTGCTGTTTGAAGCGTTGAATAAGCAGTGGCAAAAAGATGATGAACTTGTTTGTGAGTTTCAGAATTATTCCGTTCGAGTTTGTGATTGTTTTCGAGCGTTTGCCTTTATTTGGTGCTCATTTAATGAAGATTTTCAATATTCCAGTTGAATTTCCAATATATTCTTTATTTGAATAGTTGGCGGTCTCATTTTTGATTGTATTGGGGTGTGGAATTTAAAACAGTTTCCTATATTACATTTTTTATTATTTGGTAAATCATATGAAAGAATGATCTGATGATGGTGAAGTTATTGTACTTTTTGATAGCGTCATTCAGGTTATCAACCGTTTGATCTGGTTTATGTGTAGGTGAAATTATTACGCCTCCTTCTCAACTAGAGTGATTCATTTTGAATTTGTTCAGCGCGATACATTGACGAAATAATAAGATTGTCGAGTGTTCATCAACTGCAGTCCCGTAAAGGCAAATGGCTACTGCAAGTACTGCATAAGGTTCTCACCTTACCTGATGATGCGCTGAAAGATAATACAGGTCATTTTAGCATTTGACGTTTTTGAACTGGATTTCATTCGCTCATTCTTGAATGTTTAATGTTAGTGATCCTTTTTTAATGGTTTGTCTCATCGTCTTAAATAAACAAGATTTGATTATGATTGGATTGATTTTAGCATTTCATGAGAGATAATGAAATTAAAGAATAATAGTTGAAATGAAGGTTAACTTATCCAGTTTAATGTATTGTAAATATCATAAAATTGGAGTGGAATATCGCGCAATTTTCCAAATAATAATGATTAAGTTCATAACTCTTCCTAAAGTGCAGATAAAATGATATGTATATCTGAGATGAGACATGAAAAGATTGTTTGTTTGTTCTAATTTTGCGTTTCACCCATCTCAATTAGAGTACATCTGTTTTTTGTTTTTTTTTTTGATTTCAACGCATTGTTTCAACTGTTGAATCCTCTATATTATTGGGCTGTATCGGATGATTCGAACAGATATGACTGATTTAAATTGCAGAGTTGAAACTGCGTCTCAACGATATCATAACGGGTATCGTTGAAGATGGTGGTTGCGATGCAGAGCTGTTGATTGATTCTCTCTTCAAGCATCCAGTCTTCAGGTGAGACTATAACTTCAGGAAATGTTTTACTATAGAAATGTGTTCAGTAGTGGAGAGTAATTTCCAATATCTTCTTGGTTCTTCGCAATTCAATAAGATGCGAGCATTTGAATTTTAATTTTCATTTCATTTTCTCATTGAAGCATTTCAATTGTATAGTAGAATGTGTATCCTTTCATTTCATCGGTTGTCGAAATGATTTTCCAAATTTTCGTTGCAAAAGCCAAAATTTAGTGGTCATTTTCAAACAGTTAGATTAGAAGGAGTTGACTTTGGTCAGGATCTGTCTGATAAGCAGAGTT